ATTCCCCCCCCCCCCCCCCATTTCTTCTGACCCTGCTCCAGCCACACTGGTGTCTCACAGTTCTGGGAACTTGCTGAGCCTCCTGGCTCCCTCACTCCCTTTTGCCTTGGTTTACCTTCACTCTGTCACAGTCTGTCACACAGAGCACAGTCTCCTAAACTGTCTCTCCCAACACATTTCCCACCTTTGGACACACAATGTAACTTACTTGTTTATCTACTTTGTGTCTCTCCACTTGGATGAAAACTTCAAGTAGGGGGACTTCATTCACTGTGAATCCTAGACCACCCAGCACACAGTAGAAGCTCATCAGGTGCTTGATAAATGAACCCATTTCTTAGACTCCAATAACGATTCCTCCCCTGGTTAGACATGTACAGCCTGGCTGTGCCTCCAGGTCTACTTGAAGGGAAGGAGGCCTGGCATGTAGAGTGGAGGAGATAAGCCAGAAGGTGGAAAAGGCATGAGTAGCCAAGGGGGCATGTAGCAATTGCCAGTAGAACTTGTTTCTAATTTTCCTGTCAAGTATCCTTCCCTGTTGCACTACCAGCTACACTTGAACTGTACCATGTACATGTAGTGCCACACACAGACAGTTCTGCAGCCAGTCCATCACCAGAGATTGAGAAGAGGCCCCAAAGGAAAGAGAATGGAATCAGAGCTGCAGACAGCAGCTGGAAAGAGCGTAGCCCTTAGAGGTCTCCAGAGGCAGTGAGAGTAACCAGCTTGTCCCCTAAATACAAACACATGGACCAAGCTGTAGGTATTGTTATGGTTTCCCAGGCCTACTGTCACAAAGTGCCACAAACTGAATGGCTGCAAACAACAGAAACTGTTGTGCTAGAAGTCCAAAATCGAAGTGTCTGCAGGGCCGTACTCCTTGAAGTATGAATCCTGTCTTGCCTCCCCCAGCTTCTGACAGCCCCAGGCATTCTGACTGGTGCAGCCTAACTCCAGCCTCTGCCTCATCTTCACCTGGCCATCTTCTGTGTGTGTGTCTTTCTTGTAGCCATTTACTTAAATTGCTTGTCATCTGTGTCCGATGACAGTGCACACACATGCAGTTAACACATACATGGAGCCATGACAGTGCACACCTGGAGTTAACACACATGTGGAGCTATGACAGCATGCAAATGAAGTTAACATGTACATGACAGCATACAAATATGGAGTTATGGCAGTACACACATGGAGTTAACATGTGGAACATTTGACAGTAAACACATGGATTTAACACATGCGGAGCTATGACAGTAAACACATGGAGCTGACACACACATGAAGCTATGACAATATGCACGTGGAGTTAACACATACATGAAGCTGTGACAAGACCTGCATGGAGTTAACATATACATGGAGCTGACCACATGCACAAAAGTGCTCTGCATGTACTCACTCACTTCAAGCTCTATGGAGTTTGCTTTTTTTAAGAGACAAGGTCTTGCTCTCCACCCAGCTGGATTGCCGTGGTGTGATCATAGCTCATTAGTCTTCAACTTCTGAGCTTCAGCAGTCATCCCGCCTCATCCCCCAAGTAACTGGGACTTTAGGCAAGAGCACCTGGCTCTGTCTTCTCTCTGAGTCTTGTAAGGACGCCAGTTGTACTGGATTAGGGAGCCACTATACCCCAGCCTTCCTCACCTTAACTGATTCTCTCTGCAGCCACCTTAGTGTTAAGGTCAGTCTGAGGTACTAGGGGTTAAGACTTCAAAATCTGTTTTTGCAGAGACATATTTGACCCATAACAGGTATAAATAATTTCGGTGATAAATAGCCCAGTTTTTCATTCTTCTAGGTAGCATGTACGTTTTATCTTAAGCTTCTTTTACAGATTCGTTGAAATCTGAAACTATTTTTCCATGCTGCCAATCTAAGAAATCAACTGCCTTACTGCCTATTAACAATGTTATCGCCGGCCGGACTTGGTGGCTCAGCCTGTAATCCCAGCACTTTGGGAGGCTGAGGTGAGTGGATTGCCTGAGCCCGTGGGTTCAAGACCCACCCAGGCACCTTGGCGAGACCTCGTCTCCACAACAATAAACTTTTAAAAAGTTAGCCAGGCATGGTGGCGTGCACCTGTAGTTCCAGCTATTTGGAAGGCTGAGGCGGAAGGATCGCCAGAGCCCAGCAGTTCGAGACTGCGGTGGCCGGAAACGTGCCACTGCACTCTAGTCTGGGCAACAGAGTGAGGCTCCAACTCAAAAAATAAATTATATATATATAATCTCAAACGGTTACCTCTTTTGAAAGATGTCAAAAAAAGTGTGGTCTTACATGACCACCACATTTTTAAAAATTTAAATTTACTAATCAAGTATTTTAGTAGAAAAATATCTTGACAGTACAGTATTACGCACCTTTGGGCAGTTTCACACTTAACATTTCATGTTTTTAATCAAAGGACTCCATATACCTGAGTATGAGGACAATTTGAAGAAATCATGGGTATGGAAAGAGCTATATTCTGTTAGAAATATAAGACCGTCCTGTCACGGACTCCTGGGTGTATACGGAGGGATGATTTACACTGGAATATTCTACTGGATATTTAGAGGAATGGAGCCTTGGACTCTAAAACATAAAGGTAATTTGAACATATTCGAGAGTGTGACTGTTACTAATCATTAGAAATTCATGAGTGTTAGAATGTTATCCATTAGTGGAGAAGGTAATCTGATCTTTTACTTTAATATTTCAAACTTGCTTAATAAATTATAAATTGTCTTTAAAATAACAGTATATTCTTTTTTATAAGGTTAGTCATATTTCTTTGGTATAATATTTTCAAGTTTTTATAAGAACATGCTTCAGAAAGTACTTCACAATATTTTATTAAACATTTCCCTCAAACCATTGAAGGTTCTGACTCTGATCAGCTCAAGCCAGCCAAGGAGTGCACACCTATTGAGTATCCAAAGCCCGACGGACAGATCAGCTTTGACCTCTTGTCTTCTGTGGCTCTTAGTGGCACTAATCATGAACATGACCAGCCAGCACACCTAACCTTAAAGGACGACAGCATTCCTGTGAATAGAAATCTGGCAGTCTACGATGGCCCTGAGCAGCGCTTCTGTCCTGCAGGTCAGTCATGACGTCCATACATTCCTACATATTAATGTAAATGTTTGCTTTAAACGTTTTAGAAATAGAATTTCATTATTTAAGAAACAATTTATGTATCTCCTTCCCTTGCTTGGAAATTATTGTAAATGATTTTTCATCCATCTTCCTTTAGGAAACTTATACTCTACCTAGCAGTGTTACTAGGGAATTGTTAAGCCTAGTTCAGATGTTTCTCCAAAAAAAGCTTTTCCTTGTCTACCCTAAGATGAGGATTCTGGAACACACAAGAATATCTCTTTCTTCATGTTCATGTGACTTTCTAAAATCATTATGCCATGGCAGTTCATATGTACTGTGCAGGTGCATGGCTAGAGTGGCAGGTTATGGCTACATTCAGTCCAAGGAATGGTCTCAACTTTAAATTCACCAAGAATACTGTATCTTTGAGGGCTGAGCTTTCAATTGAAATCATGGTGAACGAGGTCTCAGATGATATGGTAAAACAGACAGTATTCATATGTGTGAAAATCAGTACATTCTTCAAGGAGACTAGAAACAGTGACTGTTCTTTGACTTTTTAAATAATTCTATTATTTAAACTTCTATTATCACAGTGGGTTTTAAACTCTCTAAAGTTAGTAAGAACTGGATCTAAGTGGTTTTTTTCAGCTACAGCATATATACATCAGTCTCCTATTACCCAGTCAACCATGGTCTGAAAATATTAAATGAAAAATTCCAGAAGCAAGCAACTCATGTTTCCAATTTTGCACCATTCTGATGGTGTATGATGAAATCCTGCCTTGTCCCACCCAGAATATTCATGATTGTGTACACCACCCACCCATTAGTCACTTGGTAGCTGTCTTGGTTCTGGCAGTATCACAGTGCTTTTGTTCAACCCTTATTTTAATTAATGGCCCCAAAACACAATAGTAGTGATGCTGACAATTCACATAGGCCAAAGAGAAGCCATAAAGTACTTCCTTTCAGTGAAAAGGCTAAAGTTATTAAGTTGAGAAAAGAAAAGTTTGGGCATGGTGGCTCACGCCTATTATCCCAGCACTTTGAGAGACCGAGGTGGGAGAATCACTTGAGCCCAGGAGTTTGAAGCCAGCTTAGGCAACAAAACAAGAACCTGTCTCCACCAAAAAAATAGAAAAAACATGCTGAGTTCCTTAAGATCTAGGGTAAGAATAAATCTAATGGCAGGGTAGCTCACCCCTGTAATCCCAGCACTTTAGGAGGCCAAGGCTGGAGGATTGCTTGAGCCCAGAGACCAGCCTGGGCAATATAGTCTCTACAAAATCTTTTTTTTTTTTAATTAGCCAGGAATGGTGGCACACGCCTGTTGCCCCAACCACTGGTGGGAAGATAGTTTGAGCCTAGGAGATTAGGGCTGTGAGCCATGATCATGCCACTGCACTCCAGTTTGGGGGAGTGAGACCCTGACCAAAAAAAAAAAAAAAAATTTTTAAAAATCTGTGAAATTGTGAAGGAAGAAAAACAAATGCATACTAGTTTTGCTGTCACAACTCAACTGCAAAAGTTACAGCCACAGTGTGTGTAAGTGCTTACTTAAGGTAGAAAAGGCATCCCATTTATGAGACACACAAACATGTTGTTATTGGCAGCAGTGGGCTTGGTACTGCCCGAGGTTTCAGGCATCCACTGGGGGTCTTGGAATGTATCCCCTGTGGCTAAGTGGGGACTACTATATGTAGAACTCAGTCTTAGATGTCTAGTACTCTTGCAAGACTAATTCTGTACTTCCTTTTATCATGTACGTGTAATTTATACTAAACAGCAACAGCACACATCAAGATCTTCATAATGTCCTCTATGTGTAAACAATCAGAAAGCAGCCTTAAAGGTTTCTGTAGCTGCTTCCAGGACTTTAATTTCTATTTTTACATTTAACAATTTAAAAAATGTGGTACTTGTTACTTTTTATTTTACAGGAGTTTATGAATTTGTACCTTTGGAGCAAGGTGATGGATTTCGGTTACAGATAAATGCTCAGAACTGTGTGCATTGTAAAACATGTGATATTAAAGACCCAAGTCAGAATATTAACTGGGTGGTACCAGAAGGTGGAGGAGGACCTGCTTACAACGGAATGTAAACAGCATTGCCTTTGCAGGTACATTTGGTAGCTGGTTTATTAAAAAGTTTGGCAAGCTGACTTTCAGATGTTTAGAGGCTAGCAGGTATCAGCATGTCTTTCAGCATATTATTGGTTGAAATGGTTGCAAAATCAGTGAAATAAAAATTTTATACTATATCCAAAACTGTCCCATAAAAAACTATGAACATTTCTTTTAAATAAAACTTTATAACAATGATGGAGCATCTTACATCTTCAGTTCTCCAGAGATTCAGTACCAATAGCAACACTATTGGATTTTACTATGCATTTGACTTGCCAAATTTAAAAGTTTTCAAGTATAGAAATGAATATATACACTAGCGCATATAAGAGGCTGGCATCCGCTCACTTTCTATGAATAAACTTTTATTGAAACACAGCCATACCCTTTGGTTACACACTATCTATAGCTAATTTTGAATTACAGCTGCAGAGTCGAATAGTTGTGATGGGCTACATGGTTTTAAAAGCCTAAAACCTTTACAGTCAAGCCTTTTGCAGAAAAGTTTGCCCAACTTTAAGTATAAAAACCAGCACAAACCAGCCCCAGATACATCAAAGACTTAAAGGAAACAACAGACATACAGATTTAAGCTTTCGTCTACTTACTTATTCAAAAAGATGAGCCTTTAGGAGTTTAAAAACTGACTAGATACCATATTTTGTGAGTAATATAACCACTAAAAACAACAACTGCACTGTATTGTGTAACACTTTTATTAAGACTGAACTCTTATCAGTACTCCTAAACTGTAAACAATGGGGAACAAGGTATCAAAGGGAACCACACTAGGGATACGATAGAGTAAACTCTTACATTTGTCTTTATACAGTCAACACATGTTTAAGCAAAACTGAATCCTTATTAAGCAAACATTTTTGCATATACTGCCTTCTCTTTATCTTTCTGTGCCTTTATCTTTTGTTTAACTTTCAGCAATTCAGCCTGGATAGCTGCAAAATAAACAGGTAATATGAGTCAATTTCTTAAAACATTCAAAAAATTAGGGTTACTAACAAACATTTAAGATGATAGTTTTAACTCTTCCTGATACAACTCCTCCGTAAAGTAACTGAGTCCTCGTAACAGAAAATCTACTGCAAGAGAAATCACGTAAGGATCATGAAGCATAGTTCTTTCCAGACTGTTACCTACAAGAATGTGACATCAAGACTTGCCCTCTCACTCTCCATCTGAACCGGCAGCAACTGCTTCCCTTGTTTCATTTTAGCAATAAAGAGACCAAAGATATCTTTTACTATCCAGATCTAGTGACCCTGTTCATAGGTGGTTTATTTGAAAAACAGCTTATTTTTGTCCTAGTTTCTAAAACATAACCAATACACAGAATACTAGGTTATGGCCATTTAACTCATGTTAACAATCCCATATGTTAAATTTGCCATGAATACCGGATCTTTTAGGGCTGAGTTTTCAATGATACCATAGAACAAACAGTATTCAGATATGGGAACAATGAGCACATTCTTGAGGGGGACTAGAATGTAAGCTACATGAGGGCAGGGAACCTGTCTCATTCACGGCTATATGACCGATGCCTGGCCCAACAGCAGGCATTCTGCAATAGCTGTTGAACAATAAATATCTAATATTTGGCAAAGTGAACAAAAGTTCATGAGGATACATTTTCAAAGAACAAAATGAACTTCCACTATAAAAACTCCCAACTCACCTTTATCTTCTGGTGCTATTTCCTGAGCTTTCTTAAGATCAGCCTTTCATTGGAAAAAACATTTAAGAAAAGTTAGGTGTATGATTTATAAAGGTGGTTGTCTGTTTTTAAAAATTAAATAGTTAAAACAAAATTTACCAATGCCTGATCGTATTCTTTTAATCCTTGCCATCCTTGAGCTCTACGGTACAGTGCTTTGGTATTTGATGGGTCTATTTCAAGGGCCTACAAAAAAATATATAAAGTTAACATTTATATCTAAGTAAATTTTAAATGTACGTGCTAGATCTCAATTTACTCCCTGTCAACTCCAAACTCACCCTTCAATGCTCTATGAAAGTGGAGCTGGCAGGTATGAACAGGTTCTCCCCTGCCAGTGGGCACCATGCCACTTCCATCAGTAGAGGGCACAAAATTAAACGCAGGAGGCGACACTTAACTGAATTCTATCTCCTGATGAGGCCTTAACTAATGTATTTGTAAGAGAAAATCATTTTGAATAAAAATCTGTGTACACTCTTACTTAAAATCCAATCTTTTAGAAGACCTTTCTCAGGAAAGGCCATTTAACACAACAGACTAGATTGTTTCAGGTCTTTCCCCAAAACAGATTTGAAAATAATATTTTTTGTTTACACTGCATCTTTTAAAGGTCAATACTCGGATTTTACCAAAGAGCATGTATCATCTGCCTTATAAAGGTAAAGAAGAAATCCAGAGCGAAGACCAATCTTTTCCTTCAATGAGTTTTCTCCTGTTGTATATTCTTACCCTTCTCCACCTACCCTACCAAATTAGGATCTCATTTCAGTTCGACTTGCTCTGAGCCTAGCTCATCGAGGTACATAGCTTAATATGTACAATATATAAAATGCTTATTTTGAAAGATTCTTCAAACTACACAACAGGGAAGAGAGTCATAGCTGCTCTATTTGAGGAAGTTAATACTGCCATCTTCTAGCAGTATCAGCATACCTGGATGGCCCTCATAAAGACAGATGATCTTTCTGCCTATTCCAATAGTACCCACTTCTCCCTATACAAGTCGTGATAACTCTAAATTGAAATCGACCCCCTCCTATCCCAAATCTGTTAAGCTTCTTGAGGGTTTGGATCTTTTAATTAAAACAAACTAATCTCTATTGGGTGCTTAAAATGTGCCAAGCACTATATTAAATGCCTTACACTGTGTTCTATAATCTTATATTGTCACCCTATAAGATAGGCAAAACCAGAAATTCACTCAAGACAACAAAGCTAGTGAGCAGCTGAGATCTAATGAGAAATTCAACTGACCCCACAACCCCCATCCTTAATCATTCCCAGATTCGTCTCCCAATGCCTAGCACATAGCAGGTGTTCTTAAATATATAAGCTGATACATAATCTGAGAAAAAGAAGTATCTTCATAGATACTAAGTAACAACAGTATTATAAGCAAAATAATGAATTAGAGAAAGGAACTGAAGGTCAACAATATTTAGAGACAAAAAGACTTAAATCATGTTTTATCAAGTCTTATTATATTAGGCCCTATGCAATAAGATATGTTAATGCATATAAAATTTCTTTTCTTACTAAAAAACTTTTAGGAAACTTCAAAATTTTCAATCAAGCAGACTTACCTCCAGACAGCTGTCAACTGCTCCCTGCCAATTTGACATCTTCAATCTACAAGCACCAATGTTCAGTACACAGCTTAAAGCTATCGGTTGTAGCTTGGCTCTCTCTGCTTGCTCAATAACAGCCTTGGAGCTGTCAACATACCTGGAGAGCACATTAATAAAATCAGTGTGTAATCCACATACACAAGACTTGCTCTGCAACTCCAACACTATCACAGTGTTATGTCACATCTGATAGAAAAAGCTCATCAAATGCTAACAGTGATCTTCACAATGTGATCTTAATGACCACTCATTACTTTTCTTTAGAAGCTTTTTAAAAAGTCTTATTTGTTCTAACTTTTCCTCCAAAAGTGTTTCAAGAGGCCAATTTAGCATAATTTCCATATTGATTATGCCCTAGTAACACTTCTCCATTTTTAAAACTCAGGCGCCCCACCCATTATGTCCTTGACAACATAATGTCTGGAAATAGGATTCTCACAATGGGAGAGGGGAACCTGATGAGGAAAGCTGCAGAATCCTGTGGTGTCAATTTTGAAATGCCCACTGAAAAGGGCCCAGAAACGGAGCACACCTGTCCCCCAGAATTTGATTTTTAAGTTTCCTTTCTCAAATTGGAGCTCCTTGGAGAAACTACTGAAACCAGATCTGAAAGCAAGGTAAACCATAAGATATGCCTGGAACATTTATCTGTGCACAGTGAGCAGGTGCTCACAGACTAATAGGAACAAGTAAAAGTAAAGGGGGCTTCCACTGGACAAATTTGGAACCCTGTGGGCATCAGAAAGAATGATGATAATCATATACTAACAAACTGAATTGGAAAACATCCACCTGTAATCCCAGCACTTTGGGAGGCAGAGGCGAGAGGATTGCCTGAGCCCAGGGGTTCAAGACCAGCCTGGGCAACTTGGCGAGACCTCATCTCTATAATAAATCAAAAACTAGCCAGGTGTGGTGGCTCATGCCAGTAGTTTCAGCTACTTGGAAGGCTAAGGCAGAAGAATCACCTGAGCGCAGGAGGCTGTGAGCGTGCCACTGCAATCCAGCCTGGGTGACAGAGTGAGACTCTGACTCAAAAAGAAAAACATCCACAATCTGGGTGTGGTGGTGGCACCCGTAGTCCTGGTACTAGGGGGGCTGAGGCAGGAGGATCACGTGAGACCAGCCTGGGCAACACAGTGAGACCCCCATCGCAATTAAAAAGGAAAAATTTATCCACGGGTCCAGTGACATTAAAGAAGGTGGGGCCCGGGAGACATGGGCTGTAGAAAACATAAGAATGCTAGCTATTAACTGTAGAATGACAAAATAAGAAAAATCAATGCAATAACTGAATGAGGCAAGGATTTTTCTATGATGGTAAAAAAGCCATTCTGTGAAAAAGGTTGCTGCAGCAGACTGAATAGTCACATAATCTCATAGAACTACCTCAGACTTATCATTTATAAAGGAAAAATGGCACTTTTGTAACAGACACTTCCAGCTGATACCACTTTAATCAAATGCCGAAACTCAAAACAGGCCAAACTGACATGGGTTTTCAGGATGTAATGTCATAGGAAATATACATCATCTACCTAGGTTCTCTTGCCAAAATATTTAACTTCAAACTAACTTTAAGGAAACAAACATATGCAGACAGTAGTCTTTTTTGTTTGTTGAGTTGGAGTCTCACTCTGTTGCCCAGGCTGGAGTGCAGTGGCACGCTTACAGCCATTGCAGCCTTTTCCTGCTGGGCTCATGCGATCCTTCCACCTCAGCCTTTCAAGTAACTGGAACTACAGGCACACGTCACTGCCCCTAGCTAATTTCTTGATTTATTATGGAGATGAGGTCTCACAAAGTTGCCTAGGCTGATCTCGAACCGTGGGACTCAGGCAATCCTCTCGGCATGGCCTCCCAAAGTGCTGGGATTACAGGCTTGAGTCACCACGCCTGACCAGATGGTAGTCTTAAATCAATTGACTAGGGTGCCACAAAAACGCAAATGCATAAAAAACCAGGGAGGTGGGGGCCATTAACAATTAGAAGTGACTAAAGAGAGGTGATCTTAGTTTGGACCCTGTTTTTTTAAAAAAAATGAAACTATTGGGGAAATTTGAACATGGATTACATATTTATCAATATTACTTTGGGGGTAGTTAAATAATGAAGTTATGCAAAATGTCCTTTTTTAAGGAAATATATGCTGAAATATTTAGGGGTAAAGTATCATGATATCTACAATTTCCTTTCAAGATAGTTCTCCAAAAACAAAAATAGAAAAAGCTAAAAATTGATGAATGCAGGTAAAGGTACATAAATAATGTACCATTCTTTCAATCTTTTCTGTCTTTTGAAATTTCTCAGAGTTAGCTGGGAAAACAAAATAAATGCAACTATTTCAACACATCTGGCTATTCATGAGTAATTTGCAAAAATATAATGCGTAATTACAAGTTTCAACTTATAATTCAATTTATAAGTTTTTAAACATACATATTAAAAATATTTTATTACCTTAAAACTTTTGCATATTTCTTAGTGGCCATCTCCCAGTTCTGGGATTTGAAAAAAGTATTTCCAATGTTTTTTAAGTCTTCTGTTATTAATAAAATTTTATCTACCTGTATAAAAAAAATACAAATATGTTGCATTTTAGTAAGTAATGCAATTTAATGCTAGGTTCTATCATATGAAGACTGACACAAAAGCTCTTTTAGTACTAAATGTTTTTATGTGTTGAAGTAATTAAAGTATGACTGATCTTCAAGTACTCACATCTTTCAGGTCTATGTCTGCATCCTCAGGGAAATCTGGATGACTGTCACCAGAGCCATCCTTTGGGAATATTCCCCAGTCATCCCCTTCCTTCAGTTCTCCACATTCTGCAATAACGCACAACTGTAAAAATAATCCTCAATTGTAGAAGTCACTACCATAATAATGAGAGGAAAGCTACACAGCTGAAGTCATGAAACACTGTCCAGTTCACAGATCTGTCAGGAGGCTCATTTATCTGCTGTAACTACAATGATGCCCTCTTATGTATTTCAACTAATACAACGAAGTCACTATTTACATTAAGCATTTTATTGCTCTTCAGGAGCTCAATGAACACAAAATAAGTTGCCAATTTTATCATTCTCCATGTAACTGCCTCTAGGTTTCAGTTTACTCCTATTCCTTTCACACACTGACAGCCTACCTCCTCCAATGAACTTTCAATTCCCACTCACAACCCTGTCACTTAGGCTGGGTAGTAGTATTGTCATTTGACTCACAGACATTTAGAGCACAAGGATCTTAGCAATAACCTAGTCTAAACCCTCAAGTAATCTAAACAGCATAAGGAAACAGGCCAAGAGAAGTTTAGTAACACAAGGCCAATCTAGTCGAGGGAACCACCCTGGAGAGACTGTAGGTTTGCTACCCTCCTTCTACCATGTTCTAGTATTCATACAGACTATAGTCTTGCAGGTATAGGAAGACTTGTACGATCTGGCAAAGATCACCCACATGGAAGCTGAATAAAAATCTCATTTAAAACTACCCTAATCGTCTTTCCCATAGTAGAAAGCAGTTAAAAAGAAAAAGTGACAGATGTGGGCTCATATACCAGAAACTGCTCTAACGCTTTGCAGCTAATCATCACCTGATCCTGTCACTAACACTTCGTTAAGACAGCAACTAGGACAAGTGTATTTCATCATAAGTCTTTACTTACTTTGACAGGTTTTTCACCTTTCACTTCTACATTTTCCAGCATCCTTGCCACTCCTATTCCTTTAATGACTTGACCAAATACCACATGTTTCCCATCCAAATGAGGAGTTGGAACTGTTGTGATAAAGAACTGAGAACCATTTGTATTGTGGCCTGCATTTGCCATGCTTAATAAACCTTCCCGATCATGCTGTAGAAACAAAAATTAAAAGAAAACCAAGGTTAGAGGTATTAGTCTGAACTCTTCTTTTACTGACCATGCACACAAAACGGAGGTGGGTTGTACTACCATTTAGACTTTACTTTTAATTTTACTTTAAAAAATTTAAATTACTTTTTACTTCATTGCAACCTTTAATTCAAAAGCATGGGCACTTAATCACTTTTTAAACTTAAAAAGCTTACAAAACCAAATAAATAACAGAAACAGCATGGGGGAGGGTTATTTCTAATTGGCCATCTTGAGATAATGCTTACATACTTCTCTTGAAGATGAAGATGCAGCATTAAGGAAATCTACTAATATTTTTTTTGCTCTTTTGATGATGATGCTTTTTTCTAGGAAGATCTGAAAAACTTCCCATGTTCATAAATGAGCCTATGAGTCTTCTTTTACACTTCAATAAACTGGGAACAGTAATGGGATGTTCAATTTAGACAAGATATTCAGTTAGGTACAGTACTTTCCCAGTCTCCAAGAAACCAAATCTATGGCTTTCATCCCAGGTGAATCATTTAAGAGAGTGCTTAACAGAAACTGCTCCATACGTCTTGAAATTGATATTCTACCTCAGTATCATCCTATTCAAAGGCTCTATGAAATCCAATTTCTTCATATTTTTACTATCATAGGCTTTCTAAATGTATTCCTTGTTGGTGCATGCACTTTAACTCTGTTATGTCCTATCTCATGTCATCACCCTAAAATGCCTTTTACTTCTCCAATCTAAATTCAGCTTTCAAGGCCACCAAGTCGGTAGAAAGCAAGAATCATGCGGCCCCCCTTTCTTTATCTGCGTGATCATCACATAATCTTAATCCTTCCAGTAGCTTCCTTTGTTTGGTGCAGTATTAACTGAAATCTGAACGTTATTGCCTTGGCCTCTCTTTTCCCTAACCCACGTCCTTTTTTGCAACTACACTTTAGTTCCTGCCTAATCAAATTTCAGCTATGTTGCCACCTTGCAAAAGCCTCAGTTTGCACAGCTTAAATACCCATTCCTCCTTAACGTCTTCCCTAATAACTTGGATCACATAAATCACACCTATAATATACACAGAAAGTATGTACTAGCGATGTTCTATACGAATAAGGGTATTCAATCAATTTAGCATTTGCATTCTACTCTTATTACTTTCCAGTTGTCCCATATGTCTTAATTTTGTCTCCCAGGTAGGATTATGAATTCCTTGTCATCAAGGCCTTTCATTTTTGTAAATCCTTCGGTGCCAGTAACAGTACTATGCATATGGTTACAGTTAATAAGCATTGTTTAAAAGACTGGGCCGGGCACAGTGGCTCATGCCCGTAATCCCAGCACTTTGGGAGGCCAAGGTGGAAAAATTTATTGAGCCCAGGAGCTCGAGACCAGCCTGGGCAACATAGCAAAACCTCATCTCCACAAGAAAAAAACCCAAAAATTAGTTGGGTGTGGTGGTGCACACCTGTAGTCTCAACTACTCAGGAAGCTGAGGTGGAAGGATCACCTCAGCTCAGGTGGTCAAGGCTGCAGTAGCTATGACTGTGTCACTGACTCTCGCCTGGACAAAAGGGAGACTCTGACTCCTCCCCCAAAAAGTGACAATTTTCTTTTCAAATTATCCTAGTTACCTTGCTCATATTCCTCATTTCCAAAGATACCACTTTACTATTATACTTACATGTCCATTCTTATAACTTGAATGATGCATTATACCCCGATTACATCTTGGGACAATGAAGATAAGACACAGGCACCACTAATGTCCTTTAGGAGCTGGGACATTAACCATATCCTCTAGTTTGCAAATCCCCTGACATCCTGGATATTAGCGATGGTTTTGTTGCTCTTCAAATTCAAGGATAAAGATGCACAAGTTACTATCCTTCCGATGAGAACATTTTTCCTGGAAACAATTTTGCCATATGGTGGCTACACTTAAAAACTAATTGGCTTAACTGAGGCACATAAAACTGGTTTCCACTGAAATAACTCTAGCATTTTTCCAAATAAAATCATTACTGAAGGCCAGGCACAGTGGCTCACACCTGTAACCTTAGTACTTTGGAAGGCTGAGGTGGGAGGATTGCTTGAGGTCAGGAGTTTGAGACCTGGGCAACATAATGAGACCTCATTTCTACAAAAAAATTTAAAAACTAGCCAGGCATAATAGCGTGCACCTGTAGCTACTTGGGAGGCTGAAGCCAAAAGATCACTTGAGCCCAGAAACATGGGGCTGCAGTGAACTATGATTGCACCACTACACTCAAGCCTGGGTGACAAAGCAAGAAACCCAATCTTTTAAAAAAAAAAAAAAAAAAGTACTGAATGAACACTTTCTATACTAAAGATGCACATTCACAGATATGAATCCTTCTACAAATAAAAAATTTAAACACACTCAAGACATTTTTTGGTGTCTTAAAGTATTTCAGATATGTAACAATCTTTTTATCAGCAATAACATATTTTCTCTACTTTACCTTATAATGGAAATTTTCATCTTCAAATTTTTCACCATAAATACTTTCTCCACCTGTCCCATTCTGATTTGAGAAGTCTCCACTCTGAATCATAAATTTCTTAATAACTGCAAAAAAGGAAAATGGCTATCAGTGACTGAGACACAGATGAATAACCAGTGAATACATCATAATTACAACTTCCTAGAGCATAACCACAGCCAGATGATATGGAGGAAAGACACAGGTAGAGTCTGCAGGAATCCACATCTAGGCTTCCTATGCCCTCTCCCTCCCATGAAGGGTCACAGAACACACGTTCACCCAGCAAGAAAAATGCAGCAGTATGTGCACCATGTTTCTTATCAGGAAAGCTAACTGGATGCTCAGCACCCAAGGTATTTATTGGGCACACCCTACCATGTAGGTACTCTCTACCTAACATGTATCAAAATCCCAGACCCCCAAAACCAAAACAAATGTTCCAAGTTTGTACAGTCTAGGCACAGAAAACCACCCTTGTTCAAGTGACAAGTTCCCCCCAACTCAAGCCAAGCACTACCTCTGCAGGCAGATCTTTCTAAAGATAGCAGCCTCAGGCCTGCTATGTTAAATATTTTCTGCATATACTTTATTAGCATATTTTGATACTTTATTAAACATGAAAGTAAATCATTCATTTATTTAAAAATCAATGTTAGCTGGGCTCAGTGGCTCAAGCCTGTAATCCCAGCACTTTGGAAGGCGGAGGCAAGAGGACTGCCTGACCTCAGGGGTTCAAGACCAGCCTGAGCAACATGGCAAGACCTCGTCTCTATGATTAATCAAAAAATTAGCCGGGTGTGGTGGCACATGCCTGTGGTTCCAGTTACTTGGAAGGCTGAGGTGGAAGGATCACCTGAGCCCTGCAGATCAAGGCTGTGGTGGCCATGAGCGTGCCACTGCACTCCAGCCTGGGTGACACAGTAAGACTCCAACTCAAACAAACAAACAAATAAACAAAAACAATGTTAATTTTTTCTTCATAAATCAAGTTTTGTTGTTGTTGTTGCTTTTGAGACAGAGTATCACTTTGTCCCTCAGGCTGGAGTGCAGTGGCATGCTCACGGCCACCGCAGCCTCAACCTGCTAGGCTCAGGCGATTCTTCTACCTCAGCCTTCCAAGTAGCTGGAACCATAGGCACGTGCCACCACACCCAGCTAATTTTTTGATTTATTGTAGAGACAAGGTTTTGCCATGTTGCCCAGGCTGGTCTCAAACCCTTGGGCTCAGGCAATCCTCTCGCCTCTGCCTCCCAAAATGCTGGGATTATAGGCATCAGCTACCGTATCCAGCAATAAATCATGTTTTTTTAAAAAATGGAACTACTCATGATTATAGTTTAGCTTATCTCTCCATTAAACAAATATTTACTGAGTGCCTACTCAGTAACTATACTAGATGATTAAGACAAAATGGTGAGAACATATCGTATCTGAATTCATAAGGCCTGCAGTCCATTGGGGGAACCATTAATCACTAAACAAAGGTATGACTACAAAGTGTGATTAACAGTATGAAATGATACACTTTAACCACACATCACCAATGTGTCCAAAACACATAAAATCCATAGCCTTCCCGAGCACTCATGCCCAAGAAGTAGGTATAACATTTTCTCACCAGGCTGTCAAGCTACCTAGGGTCAGTTTTATATATCATGGCCACACCCTTCCTTTCTCAATCAAATTACCTTGGAGTAAAGAAGAATTAAAGGCCTGGTGAAGCTAGGGTAGTTCACTTCTCTATGGATAAACCTTAGTACCATAAGTAATTCCATCTCTCATACCCTAACTTCAATAAAACAGCTACTCTGAGAAGGGTCTTCTTGGGGCCAGGCACAGTAGTTCACACCTGTAATCTCAGTATGGGAGGCCCAGGCAGGAGGACTGCATGAGCCCAGAAGTTAAAGATCAGCCTAAGCATCATAGCAAAACCTCAACTCTATAAAAAAAAATTTTTTTTAACCAGACAGGAGTAGTGGGGCACACCTGTAGTCCCAGCTACTTGGAAAGATAAGGTGGAAAGATCACCTGACCCCAGGAGGTCTAGGCTGTGGTGATCATACCACTGCACTCCAGCATGAGCAACAGAGTGAGACACCAACTAAAAAAAACAAAAACTACAACTTTGTAATGCAAGCAATAAATAAATAAATAAATAAGAAGGCTTCTCTTGGAAACTAATAGTACTTGTTCACCTTCACCCCTTATTTAGTGTTTTCTTCCCTAACTCCTAAAGAACAGGAGTTGAGTATCTATGTGAAGAATAATCAATTCAGGAAATTTATACATACTTCGATGAAAAGGGCATCCTTTGAAATGGAGAGGCTTCCCAGTTGTGGATCCAATACCCTTTTCTCCTGTACATAGTGCACGAAAATTTTCTGCAGTTTTGGGCACAATATCTGCAAACAATTCCAAGACAATTCGACCAACTAAAGGAAGAGAAAATGAAATCTTGTCAGTATGCAAAACCACCAAATAGGCAAATTATAAAAGGACAATTGGTATAATTATGGTGGCAGATCACTCATAAATTACCAAGTTCTCCTTTATTGTCCCTTTTCTTTTTTTTTTTTTTTTTTGCAATTTCAAAAACACAATACATCATATTAACTATAGTTACCAGACCTCACCTTATTCCTCCTTTCAAACTGAAATTTTTATCAGTATCTCTTCAACCCCTGGTATCTACCATTCTACTCTCTACTTCTTTGAGATCAACTTTTTTAGTATCCACATATAAGTGAGATCATTGCCTATTTGTCTTTCTGTGCTTGGCTTAGTTAACTTAATTTTCTCCATATTCATCTATGTTATCAAAAATGACAGGATTTCACTCTTTTTTTGAGGGTGAATAGTATTCCATCTTGTGTATATGGCACCTTTTTTTGGTCCATTCACCTATTGGACTCTTAGGTTGACTCCATTATCTTGCTATCATGAATATTGCTGCACTGAACACGAGGGTGTAGATACCTGTTCTACCTACTAACTCCATTTCCTTTAGATATAGACCCCCATAGTGGGATTGGAGGACATTACTGTCATCTTTCTAATATCCAAATTACCTACTATCATTTATCTGCATGGATTTAAAACATCATACCAATAATTGGTTCATAACCAATTATAGTAGCCAGCAGATTAACACCACATAAGGGGCACCATGAAGTACAAATGGTTTTAAATGCTGAATAATGTCTTCAAGAGGTACTCAGAATTTCCAATCACCAACTAACCTACAGGAGAGAATTAAGTACCCTTTCAACGGTCAGACTAACCAAATGTCACATATACCGTAGCCTATGTACTCTGTGTTAACTGCTCGGTGCAGCCTCTGAAGCAAGAGCTGAAAAGCTCCTCCACTAGATAGGTGAAAATAAACCTCGCACGGGTTCCAACAAACTGCACGTACTTGTCAATGCGTGTGTCCTGTACACGCACTCACACACGGCCTGGCCAGCGATTCTAGCAAGTTCCAGAACAAGGCCGATCCAGTCCAGCTGCAGCGTAGCTGGCTCCCCAACTCCCCGGGTCTAGGAAACGCGCGCGCTGCCATGTAACTAGGCAACCACACGCCAGATGGAATCCTTATCCCAACGCCAAAATAGGGGAAATGTTCGCCTGCCTGGCCCTCCAAGGACCAGGAATAAGGAAAAAGCAGGAACCAAACAAGTTCCTTTACTTTACCAACAACATGGCAGATGTTGATGTATTTCGTGTGGCAACACATACGGCGAGCCTGGAGCCCAGCGGGCGCATGTCCCTGGATATGCTTTCTAAACAGTCCCACTGCAAACATACATCATCTTATTTCTGGAGAATTCGTGGTGCTGAGGTGGGGAAGTGAAACCCAATCAGGAGAGGTAAACTTAAAGGCCGCCACAATTCCCGAATCAGAAATTTCCAGAAACTTCTGCGCGACCGGTGGCACTGGTGCAAAGGCGCTGGCTCCACCTACCCAGGATGCCTGGCTTGCTCCGGCGGACCGGCCTTAGCAGCTATCCCCTCCTCCCCCGCGCGCCACCGAGCAACCCCGACCCGAGCCCCTGGAGTCTCCCAAATCCCGAAACCCACGCCCCACGGGGCCTCTCCGCGGATGCCAGACTCCGCTCACCTCGCTCCCCTCCGATGTCCACGTCAAAGAAGACTTGGGGGTTGCTGGGATTGGACGGCTTAGCTTCGGGGGTCGGGTGCGACATCTCAACTTGCGGAAGCGGCGTGGAAGCAAGATCCAGACACCGCGTGGCCCAGCCGCGACCCAAATTCCACAAACGCCTCCTCGCCGCAGGCGGTGGCGGCCGCGCTGACAAGCCACTTCCGGCGCGGCCCGGAAGCGCGATGTGACTTCCGGTCCCGCCTCCCCGGGGGTTCCCCGCGCTTGATTGGCGTGTTGCTTGTCCCGGTGACTCCTTTTTCCCGGTGAAGTCACAGTCTCGGGTCTTGCTATTCTCGCTTGTGTTTCTTCGTCTCTCCTGCCATCGTGATGCGGGGCGCTTTGGAGTCAACTCTGTTCCGACCTCAGCTCTGCCACTAATTGTACTGTGACTTCTCTAAAGCTCAATTTTCTCGTCTGGAAAATGGGAATAAAGATGCTTACCCCGATCTGGAGGTCGTTTTGAGGATCAAAGACGTAAACCGCTTAGCACAATGCCTGACACAAACTGGTGGTACTTAACTAATAGGGAGCCTTATTATTGTCGTATTGCTACAATTTCATCTTCATGTTACAATAAAAGTGATCCAGACTAGACTGAAGGCTCCAAACAGCCGAAGCTGGGAGCCCAGAAGACGGCACAGTGTTGATTTCTAATAAAATTGCGTTACTGTAGCCCACTTTTACCCCGTGGGAATTTAGGTAAAACATATTTTTCCCATATGTATGAAGAGAACATAGTCTTGTCTCTTGATTAGGCCTAATCTTAGAGAAAAGTGTTGTCCCTGGGTCGATGCACCGATCTGTAGTCGTGTTGCAGCCCAGCAGTGTAGATTCTTCTTGAAGCTGACATTGACAGGCATCACGTAGTCCTAGATGCTTGCTTTTTTTTCTTATGAGAAAGCAAAAAGACATGGTATTTGAATGCAGCACTCACAGAATATGTCCCAAAAGCCAGGGATTTTGTGTGCAGAGCAGCAGCTAGAGTGGCTTTTTGGAAGGAAAGACCAGTACTAATGTTTTCCTATCAGAGCTGCCACCATCCATCCAGATGAAGGCTCAAGTCCTGTCTGCTGCATGGTCTTAGGATATGTAAAAATTAGAAGGTTATGGCTGAAGAACAACCCGTTCCTACTCTCAACTTGAAGTGGACTTTGATATGATACACTGGACTAGGCAGTAAAATTGACATTAAAAAAGAAAAAGCAATGTGCTCAAGTTCTGACTACAATATATACTAGAAGCGTAAACAAAGAACATTTAATTTCTTAATTTAAAATGTCATTTAATTTATCTGAACCTATTTCCTTTTCAGTAAAGTGAAAAAGAATAGGGTATGACAATGGAAAGATAATGTGTATGTATTTGCTTTGTAAACTCTAAACATCCTTACACAAAGTCTCTTATTTTAAAAATCACTGTAAAATTGAATGCTATGGTGTCTGGGTTTGTTTTAAGATAACCTGGGGTCAGGTGAGTGGTTAGGGCTGTGGATGAAACAGACTGGCGAGGCAGATGATTGGCACATGGGGGGTTTATTATACTACTCTCCTTACTTTTGCAGATTTAAAATTTGTCATAATAAATCTTTTAAAAGTAAAAGTGAAATTACATGTGTTACTAGGTGCTCATTATAAAACTAACTTGTAGGGTCATTGCTAATTAAAATACCAACATAACTTTTGCAAAAAAAAAAAAAAAGAGAGAGAGAGAAAGACTGGTGAATTTTTTTAGGTCATGTCAATAAGGACATTGTATTTTTTCTGTGTAACCACAAAGTTCCATCATAAAAAATTGCATACATACATAAGCAAAAAGTGGATTCATTTATATGACAATTTTTTCGTTTGTTTGTTTGAGCTCTTGCTATATGCCAGGCACTATTCTGAGTGCTGCTTATACAATGATGAAAAAAAAACAGTCCATATCCTGAACTACACAAATTTTACAGTCTAATGGAGGAGAAAGACTATTGAATAAGCTCTTACGATGCAATGTGATTAGTGCTTTAATAGGGAAAACACAATTCCATTCAGCACACAGCAGGGACACTGAACACAGAGGCCTATTTTGAGATCAGAATAAGTAAGGTCGGTCACCAGAGCATCTGCGGCAAGTAAGACGGGTTAGGGAAGGGACAGGTGATGAGCATATTCAAAGGAGAAGGAAGCACATACACTTCTAAAGTGAAAATGTGCAGCAAACCATGTTATTTCTCCGTGAGAAACCAGGTTTTCAGACAGTGCTTCAACTTCAGATGGGTCTGAACCACTGGTTTCAATGCTTGAATCAGATGTCACCTTTAGTTTGTAATTCTGTCCAGCTTTTCTTCAGATTGAGTTTCAGAATGAGAAAGAGTTTTATAACATAGTCCATTTATCCCTGAAGTAGAAAGGAAAAAGAATGATAAGAAAAAATAACTCAAAAAGTATCCCTAGTTTATCTGTCAATAGCACTTACCACTTTGTAATACACTAATTTTTATTTATTTTTGTTTTTTTTTTGCTGTTGTTTTTTCTTTTTTAGAGACAGGGTCTTGCTCTGTCAGTCAGGCTGGAGTGCATTGGAGTGATCATAGCTCATTGTAGCCTTGACCTCCTGGGCCCAAGTGATTCTTCTGCCTCAGCCTCCTGAGTAGCTGGGACTATAGACACCGCTACCAGCTTGACAGGTTAATTTTTATTTTTTTGTAAAATGGGGTCTCACTATGTTGCCCAGGCTAGTCTTGAACTCTTGCGCTCAAGCAAACCTCCTATCTCAACCTCCCAAAATGTTTGGATTACAACATTAGCCACCTTGCCCAGCCTAGTTGTTTACTTATACATTTATTTCATCTATCATCTCCCATTAAAAGTAAATGCCGCAAGGACAAGAATCTTTTCTTTTGTTTTGTTACTCTCTCCTCAGCTCTTTAAACAGTGCCTAGCATGTAGTAGATGCTCAATAAACATTTTTGAATGAATGAATGAGTTCTAGGATAATAACGGCTTTGAGAATGTTTATAAACCAATATTAACATGAAATTGCATTTCTGTGTGTCGAATGTAATTTGAGAAGATTCTCTGTAGCAGAGCTCCATGCTGAACCATTCAAATTCCAGCACCTGAAATTAATGTAAAATGTTAATTTCTTATTTCATGGTGTTTAGTCATTGTGGTTTCCTGAAGACCCAGGACAACTCAGCACAAAACCTGTGTAATTTGATAAACAGGAGAGTCAAAACTGTCGTTTAACCCAGTTACATCTGGGCTGCGAACTGGTAATTTACAGTTTGTCTCACATATGAGAGGGACTCTCCCCCAAAACACAGATTTTTTTGGAAGGCTTGCCCCTTGTAGTACAGGCTTCTTCGATAGGTAAGTGTTCTAGGAACCCATCGGCATCAGTGTACCAGCTAGCGTTGCTGTGAAAGGCTGCGTTTGGCTTCAGTGAATTTTTTTTTCCCTTTTGAGATTCTTTCAGCATGTTTACCCATTTCGTGATGGATGATCTACAAGTGCACCTGCCCACATCACACTGAATGTTCAGCAGTTTTTGACCAAAAGTGGCATGACCCACAAAGGGAAATGTTTTGCTGATGTGGAAGAGGTAAAACAAAAAACAGCAGAAGTACTAAAAAGTATCAAAATGGACGAGTTCAAAAACCGCTTTGAGCAGTGGAAAAAGCATCTCAATAAATGTATTGCATCAAGCAGAGAGTATTTTGAAGGTGACTGAGGTTTAAGCATGTAAGAATAAGTACACAATTTTTAATAAATAAAGTCTGTTTTTTGGAGGTCCCCTCTCATATATCTCAACAATAAATTCACATTAAAATTTCATTTGAACCCACTAGCTTAAAATCAGCTTTCAGCTTATTATTACAAGAATTGTGGGCTAGGCACAGTAGCTCACGACTATAACCCCAATGCTTTGGGATGCTGGGGCAGGAGGATACCTTGAGGCCAGGAGTTGGAGGCGGCAATGAGCTATGATAATACCACTACACTCCTTCCTGGGTGACTGAGACCCCTGTCTCTAAAAATTAAAAATTAAAAAAGGAGTTGTCACTTTTATGTCATAAACTCCTAACTATTATTATGATGAATATACTTATTAACTAGGAAGATAGTTACAACTTCTACTCTGCCATCAAACTTTTGGGATTCAAATTCAGTCTCTAATAGACACTATCTTGTGCCTTACCAATTTCTAAGCCTCTCTATGGCTGAGTTTTCTCACCTATAAATTAGGATAATATATATATCCTAAAGTTTTTATGAGGATTAAATGAATGTTTTAGTATCTGATACATAATAAGTACTCAATAAGTGGAAGCAGTTATTATTAACTTTAAATAGCTGATGCTTCAATACAATAATTACTAACATCCACAGATTTCAAAATGGAAGTTAAAACTGCAAAGGTGCTTTGACGATGCCTCTGCATTCTTAGAAGAAAAAAAGAAATGTGCTTCTTCCTGTTATATAGGTTTCTAGGTGTAAAAGACGAATCTAAATGTTACTCTCATTTGTGTCTAGATTTTTCACAGTAAAGTAACAGCTTTACATAAACTGTCATATTCCTAGAACCAAGCCAAAGAATCTTACCTACAAAACCACTCAGAACTGGATCTCTAGTGAGAAGATAAACCTTCTCCTGGGAGACAACTTGTCCTGCTGTCAGTCTGCTCACTGAGAACAGGGCTTCTAAGTTTTGGCATCTTCCCTGTGCTTAGGAAGGAACACAGCAGTTCAAGAGCTCACACCATTTCTTAGGACTAAGGATGGTTTCATCTGGGTGGTGGCAGGCATATTTGCTCTGAGAGCCCTGTTATTATTTCTGGCTGTTTCTCACGAGTGTGGTGGGATAACATTAACAGATTCCCTCCCCCAATATTCTCATCTCTCAACTTCATTATCCATCACTCCACCTCAAACAAGCAACTAGGCATGCTGTGTTCACTGTATTAAGTGAAAGATACGGCAGCCAAGAAGGCAGAGGGAAAAGAGGAGTCTCTTCCTGGCTTTCGTGTTATGAAGGCTTGGCTTTACAGGATGGTAAAGGTTGTGTGCATAGCAAAAGAGTTGGACAAAACATCTTTCACAAGATCATGGCTTTTGATTTGAAGAAAAAAAAATTCTATCAAACAACAAAAAAAACCCATGTCCTATACTGGGAGATGAGAGAATTGTGA